AAATCAAAAAATCAGCCGGTCATTGTAGCGCATGCCTGTAATTCCGGCTACTTAGAAGGCTGAGGCAGAAGGATCGCCCGAGCCCAGCAGGTCGAGGCTGCGGTGGCCGGGAGCGGCCACTGCACTCCAGTCTGGGCGACAGAGTGAGACTCCAATTCAAAAAATAAATAAATAAATAAATAAAAATAAAAAATAAATGTGAGTCACCATGCCTAGCCATACCTGCATTATTTAAGGCATGTTTTTGAGTGCTCTAGTGGTCTATACTTTTGGGTAGGGTCTTCCTACTTTTCATTAGCCTGGGAAGTCTCTGAGCAGGTGGCTCACGTATCAGCTAGAGGATTCTCTGGGGGTGAGAATCATGCCTCATATCACACTCAGGATTCCTTAATTGGGGCAGAGGGGTCACTTATTACTTCACATTTTCCATGCACACTGCCACCTCTTAGTGCAGGCTAACCTGCTCTTTCATCTGACTCCTCTCAGGTTGTATCAGCTATCTCTACTTCATCCTCCTTATGACACCCAGTGGGTGCTTTGTCAATCACGGCAGACCATGTTGCTCTCTGCATTATACTCTTCAACGTTCACACTCTATCCTCAGAGCAAGCATAAAATTGTTCCCTCCACTTGTAAGGACTACATCTGGCCTCTAACAGACTCCCATCCCTTAACCCTGGGCCCCTCACTGAGCTCCTGCTGGCCTTCCTTGTGTTTCTCAAATGCCCTAGTACCTTTCCTACCTCAGCCTGTCTGAACACACTATTCCCTCTTCCTGACACAAAGTTCTAACTATTTAAAACACATAAGTGAACAAACAACAAACCCTCTCACCTGATTGGCTAACGCCTGTTCGGTCTCTGCTTCACTTCTAGAGAAGCCTCCCTGGTGCCTCCCCAGGCTCGGTGGGCTCCCCCCATCTTCTCTTTAACACTTATCATACTTTAGACTTAGGATTACCCATTCAATATCTGTCTTCCTGGATAAATTGTGAGTTCCTTGAACACAGAGCCCATGTGTTTTCCTCATTTATGTTTCCTCAGTGTCTAACATGGAGCTTGGTAAAAAGTAGGTGCTCAAAAAATTGTACCTTGTTAAATTGTACCAGGGAAATTTTAATTATATAACCATTTGCATGACTATTGACTATTTGATAAATAGCTGTCCTTCCTGCTAAATTGTGAGCTCTGAGGGAAGAAATATGAACAGACATGGTGCTTGCCCTCAAGAAGGTCACAGTTTACTAGGGAAATGCTCACATAACATTGCTGATGTGCAAGGTCAGAGCAGTGACAAAGGTACTAAGGGAGATCTGGAAAGATTTGGTGACAGAAATCCTGGACTAGGCCCTAAAGAATGAACAGGAGTCACCTAAGGAAGTATGGACATGGATTTCACTGAATTCTACATCATTTCACTACTGATGAACATAAAATGTGAAGCAGAAGCAGTGAAGGATAAAGCTGGAGAGGTTGCCAAGGCCAACCAGGAAGGGTCTGGTCATCCCTGTGGATATTGAAGTGGGTAGGACAGGATGAAATTTGCATTTTCTTTTTTTTGAGTTGGGAGTCTCACTCTGTTGCCCAGACTGGAGTGCAGTGGCATACTCACGGCCACTGCAGCCTCGACCTGCTGGGCTCCAGCGATCCTTCTGCCTCAGCTTTCCAAGTAGCCGGAACTACAGGCATGCACTACCACACCCAGCTAATTTTTGATTTTTTTATTGTAGAGATGAAGTCTCGCCAAGTTGCCCAGGCAGGTCTCGAACCTGCGGGCTCAGGCAATCAACTCACCTTGGCCTCCCAAAGCTCTGGGATTACAGGCTGAGCCACTGAGCCTGGCCTAATTTTTTTTTTTTGAGTTGGAGTCTCACTCAGTCACCCAGACTGGAGTGCAGTGGCCGCTTCTGGCCACCGCAGCCTCACCTTCTGGGCTCCAGCGATCCTTCCGCCTCAGCCTTCTGAGTAGCCGGAATTACAGGCATGTGCTACCACGCCCGGCTGATTTTTTTAATTTATTGTAGAGATGAGGTCTCGCTGCCCAGGCGGGTCTTGAACCCGCAGGCTCAGGCAATCCACTCACCTCAGCCTCCCAAAGGCGCGGGATTACAGGCTGAGCCACCGAGCCCAGCTGGCCTAATTTTTGATTGATTGTAGAGACGAGGTGTCGCCAAGTTGCCTGGGTAGGTCTCGAACCCGTGGGCTCAGGCAATCCACTCACCTCGGCCTCCCAAAGTGCTGGGATTACAGGCTGAGCCAGCGAGCCCGGCCGAGATTTTCATTTTCAATAGATCACTCTAGTGACTGGCATGAAGGATAGGTTCAAAGGTGAGAAGACTAGGAGAGAGAGGAAGACCAATTAGGAAGCTGCTGCAATAATCCAGAAAAGAAAATTGAAGAGTATGAATAAAGACAGTGTTGGTAAGGATGGAGTGGATGGAACTGGTTCAAGAAACAGTAGGTAAAAAAGGTGGATTTGGTGATTAAATAGCTATGTTGACTGAGAGCTAGAAAATATTCACAGAAGAGCCACAGGCTATTAAAATAGATGACTGGGTAGATGCTGAGCTGCCAGCTAAGCAAAAAATACTAGAGGAGCAGGTTTAGAGAGCAGATGGTAACAATGGCTTTGGGAACGTAGAATCTGAGGTAACTGTGGGGTATCTAGAATGGTTGTCCAGCAGGAGCTATCCTCAGACACTGAAGCTCAAGGAAAAGGACTAAGAGTCACCCTAACAGGAAAGCAAAGAAAGTGGCTGGGCACAGTGGCTCACGCTTGTAATCCCAGCACTTTAGGAGGCCAAGGCAGGAGGATTGCTTGAGTTCAGGAGTTTGAGACCAGTCTGGGCAACATAGTGAGACTTCATTTCTACAAAAAAATAAAATAATTAGTAAGATGACAAGCATGGTGGCTCACACCTATAATCCCAGCTCTTTGGGAGGCCAAGATGAGAAGATTACTTAAGCCCAGGAGTTCAAGACCAGTCTAGGCAACATAGCAAGACACTGCCTCTACAAAAAGTCAAAAAAATTAGCCAGGCATGGTAGTCCATGCCTATATTCCCAGCTACTTGGAAGGCTGAGGCAGAATTGCCTGAGCTCAGGAAGTCGAGGTGGCAGTGAACTGTGGTTGTGCCACTGCAGCCCAGTCTGGGGGACAGCGTGAGAAACCAACTGAAAAAATAAAAATAAGTCAATAAAAATAAATAGTTGGGCATGGAGGTATGTGCCTGTAGTCCCAAATACTCAGGAGGCTGAGGTAGAAGGATGTCTGAGCCAGGAGGTCAAGGCTGTGGTAAGCTGTGATTTTGTCATTGCACTCCAACCTGGGCGACAGAGTGAGACTTAAACTCAAAAAAACAAACAGAAAGAAAGAGAGAAAGAGAAAGAAAGAAAAAGAAAGAAAGTAAAGAAAGTTTGTAAGGCCAGGGCAGTAGCTCAAGCCTGTAGCCTCAGCATTTTGGGAGGCCGAGGTGAGAGGATTGCCTGAACTCAGGGGTTCGAGACTAGCCTGGGCAACTTGGTGAGACCTCGTCTCTACAATAAATCAAAAAATTAGCCAGGCGTGGTGGCACGTGCCTGTAGTTCCAGCTTCTTGGAAGGCTGAGGTGGAAGAATCACCTGAACCCAGCAGGTTAAGGCTGAGGACAAGGGTTGTCAGAATACCACCTTTGAGGGACAAACAGAGGAAGAGGAACTTATGAAACAGGAAAGTCTGGAGAACTATGTTGAGAATTGAGAGAGAATCATGTTACAAACACCAAGGGAGTAGAGTTGCAAGAAAAAGGGAGTGATCACTAGTGTCAAATGCAGCAGAAAGGTCCAGGAAGATAAGGGCTGAAAACCACCCACTGGATTTGGCAAGTGGGTGAAGCTGAGGGTGAATATAGATAAGTTTACAAGTGGTGGCTTCAGGGTAAACAACTATTTATTTTTCAGGGAGTTAAGAAAGATCCTGCATGTTGATCTCAAATTTCAAAAAGTGAAGTTGTTTCCAGAAGTGAAAGGAATGAAGTGGTTAAACAGGAGACTCGAGGAAAGAGTTAGGTTTGGGCAAAGTTTCTGAAGTCAAGGGGAGGAGAAGCAAATTAGAGACGGAAAGAGCTTGTTAGGGAGTACTCAAGCCCAGATGAAGTTGAGGAATCTGTGGTGGAGTCCAAGAGCAATGTGCCTTTCTCTATCAACGTGTATGCACAAGCACTCATGTGCACATATGGGATCCAACAGAAGGAGGTAAGAAGCAGATGAAGGCAGATTAGAGCACCATCTCAGAGTTGTAGTCTCCAGGGAAATGTATTCTAGGGATCCAAGAGGACTGAGGGTGCTGGGAAGTGAGTGGTCCAGATGGAGAATGGGAGATAAGGCGAGAAAAGCAACGAAAGACCAAAAAATAAATAAATAAAAAGGAAGGAAAAATGGGCAAGTGTTAGTGTCTAGGCAGTTTCCCCAACAGCTTAGCACTTAAAAAAAAAATAACTAATGCTTATATAATACTTACTGTATGCTAGGTATTATTCTTAGTGCTTTACGTCTATTAACATCTCTCTCTCTTTTTTGAATTGGAGTCTCACTCTGTCGCCCAGGCTGAAGTGCAGTGGCATGCTCACAGTCATCCCAGCTTCGACCTGCTGGGCTCAGGCGATCCTTCCCCCTCAGCTGCCTGAATACCTGGGACTACAGGAGAATGTCACCATGCCAGGCTAATTTGTTGATTTACTGTAGAGACGAGGTTGCCCAGGCTGGTCTCAAACCCCCAGACTCAGGCAATCCTTTTATCTCTGCCTCCCAAGGGGCTGGGATTACAGGCATGAGCCACCGTGCCTGGCTCTTTTTCAATTTTTTAACTGGCTACACAGCAGGTGTACAAGGGTTCTGGCTTTTCATCCTGTCTAGGCAGAGTTGGCTTTGATAAGGTTCCTTCCCCACAGACGCCAAACGTGTTCTTGATTACCCAGACTAGACGAGGTACTCTGGTACTTTCCTTTCAGAGCCCCTACCACAACAGTAGTTAAACAGTCATTTGTCTATCTGGTTATAGCCCATCTCTCTACTAGACTGAGCTTTATATATCTGTTTGGCTAATGTCTGTATTCTCGAGACCTCTCAAAGTACTGGTTGTAACAAAAAAACCTAGTATTTGAATGACTAAAGGTGTTACTTTTTTATTGTTAGAATCTTTTTTTTTTCAAGATCTGCATCAAATGTTCTCTCTTCCACGAAGTTGTTTCCCCAGCTGGAGTAAATTGCTCCTTCCTATGGAGTCCAATGTAAGGATTACTTCAGTCTTTATTTTTCCCCCCTTTTTCACATTTTTTTTCCCTTTACTATACTCCAGGTGGAATTACTCCAGTCTTTAAAACCATCCTTACTTTACTATGCCTAGTATCACACCAGTCTGTGTCAGAGTAGACTGGTTTAGGCTAAAAGTAGGGCCGAGGTTAGCCTCATGCTTGAGACCCAGCACCCGCAAAAGTCGAGCGGGGCTGGTTTGACCAGGTTGCACTGAGGCGACGCGGGGCCTTGCCGGGGGAAACAAGGGCGCGGGCCTGGCTTACCTTGTCTTTGACTGCCTGGTAGCTCTGCTGCAGCCAGCTCCGCCACCATCCCACGTCCTCCCTGTGGAAGAGAGACATATCTGGCGGCCCTACGGTGCGATTCCAGCCCGCCCAATGATCAGGTCTCAGTTTCACCCTCAGATGTGCCCGTTGGGGCCCAGCCTTCACAGACCGCTTCCCCACCCCCTCACACTGCGACTCCACTCCGCCCTTTCAAAAGGTTCAGTCCATGTCCGCGATGACCTCCTCTTCCCTATAGGGACCCTGGCCCAGCACCCCCACCCTGTGAGAATTCAGGCCCCAACGCCTGGGAGCGAAACGACGGGCTCACCCTTCCGCCATCTTGCTTGCATGACATCACCACTATTTACTGACCTTTGACTTCCGGCACGGCACCGCCCCCTCAAGCACCGCCCCTGAGCGCTCGGACCAATCTTCGCGCCGGCACCGCCCTCAGCTCAATCCCCGCCTCGCTTAATCATTAGGCCCCGCCTCCAGTCTCGTCTTGAGTTCTCCCTTTTACTCCGCCCCTAAACCCTCAGCCCAATCCTCATTCAGTTCTGACCTCAGGCCCCACCCCCACCAACCTCTACGCTTCATTAATAGCCGCTGACGTCCAATACGGTGGCTTCTGTGGGCCATGATTGGCCTGCCAGTTGGTCTGCGGAAGTTGGGAACCGAAGAAAGGAGGCAAGGGGAGGAACATCTGGATCCCAGAGCACTAGGGATAGGGTCACCCAACTTTATGAAGCTTGCAGCGTAGCAGCTGCTTGGTGTCTCTTCGGGCTAATTCAACAAGCCCAGACTTCGGGGCTCTGGGCGAGTTTGGAGGAGTATGAAGAATCCAGAGGCGACTTCGATCCAGACTCTGGCGGGTTCCTGCGATATTGGAGAAACAGACATGCATTCAATTACTTCAACTTTCGGTGGCCTAGCTCAGAACTACGCGAGTTGGAGGTGATCTGGAGAAATCCAGAGATCGCCCGGGGCGGGGATGATTGAATTCCATGGCGTTCGGGAAAGAGTGCGCGTTTCCACAGGTCACGTGCCTTCCTTTCTGCGAGGGTGCACTTTAGCTAAGGTCAACGCTTCTACATGTGCTTTTGATCCCGTCGCCTCTCTTCTGCTTAAGTACTTAGATCTAGTAATCCCTGCCACCGTTTATTTTCCCTCAGACGACTGGATTATTCTGTAGTTATACATTGTGCTATTTCTTCCATCTGAAAAGCAAGCAAACAAAAATCAACCCTCTCGATCCCTCACCATTTCCCTACTCCTACAGCAAAACTTGCGTTGCCTATACTCACTGTATCCAACTCCCCTCTCCTCCCATTTTCTCTTGAACTCATTGCAATTAAGGTTTTTTGTTTTGCCTCCCTGCAATGGATTGAAATAACCGTCACCAAGAGCAATGGCCAATTTTCAATTCTCGTTTTACTTGAACCATCCAAATCTTACTTGATACAGTTGGCCACTACCTCCTTTTTTTTTTTTTTTGAGTTGGAGGCTCACTCCTTCGCACAGACTGGAGTGCAGTGGCACGCGTGCTCACGGCCACCCCAGTGCCGACTTTCTGGGCTCCAGCGATCCTTCCGCCCCAGCCTTCTGAGTAGCCGGAACTACAGAAGCGCGCTACCACGCCCGGCTAATTTTTACTTTTCTGTAGAGAGCAGGTCTCGCCAAGTTGCCTGGGTGGGTCTCGAACCCGCGGGCTCAGGCATTCCTCTCGCCTCGGCCTCCCAAAGTGCTGGGATTATAGGCTGAGCCACCGAGGCTGAGCCACCGAGCCCGGCCACTTCCTCCTTTTTTTTTTTTTTTTTTTTT